GAAAGCCTTCTTATATTTTCCTACAATGGAGGACTTTAGGAGTGGTGTTCAAAAGAGGGGTCCAAAATCCCTATCCAAAGGCCATTGTAGCCAATTAGTTATTACCTTTGTTGAGGGCAAAAACATATTGGTGGGAAAGTTTGGTTACCAGCTCCCTTTGCTGACCAATGGCACTGCAACATTGACTCCCCCATGGAAATGGAAGTGATGGAAAACAAACTGAAAAAGAGAGTGATGTTTAATCTTCTGGAATGAAGTTCTTTTTTTACGGTGGAGACTTTAATTTCATTCATATTCATCTAAAGGTTACTATCATCCAATTAGTTAGTTAAATAAATAGGTTCTATCTAACCAATTTATCCACAACAACCTCATCAAACTAATATAAATTCGATTCGATAAATCAGAATCATCAATTATTATTTTTTGTATTGAATTGATTTTAAAGTTTAAGTTTGAAGACATATGATCTGAGACACAATATCATACCCGAAAATTCAGGTCGATTCGTGATCACAGTAACACCACCTCATTTTGAATACCAGAGTATATATCGCAAATTCTGCACGAGTACGCTAGTTTCACTCACGCGCGTATATAAAGTCTCATTAAACCTTCATTCTACACAATACTATACGTATCAGGTATCACCATGTCACAAGTGCATCGTCCATCGCTTATAAGTCCACCCCAGCAAACTTTAGATTACCAATACTCGATTTTAAGATCGAAGATTCACATTCTGATGACTCAAACATAGAGATTTTACAGGAATATCGCATGTCAGTCCTATGAGGATTGGGGGAATGAATAGAAGAATTTAATACCACAAATGGTAACATCAAGGGCATTGAATTTCAATTCCATTTTGTATTCCACATACGGTGACTGCGCTGGTAAGCATGAAGAAGAGCACATGCAGAAGCAGCCTGTGAAAAGTCAGAAATGAGAGCCATTTGGTGGTGAGTATGAATATGGGATTTGTTTTTTTCTCAACCGTAGTTGTGTTATCTTTGTCAAACAAGACATGCTAATCATTTGTTGTTCCCCCACATTACATTACATTACATTACATTACATTACATAAACCCCCGATTTCTAAAGTCTTGAAAAATCTTCCTCCCTGTGAAATTCCTCGAAATGACTTCTATCTAAAATATACACTGTCCTCTCTTGGAATTTCTAGCTAGATAACACCTCTTTTTTCCTTGGCCAATGTATAGCGACGTTTAGGTAATTAAATGAATGTGAATTTACGAAATTATATCACATTTTAGTATATGCAAATTTTATTTCTCCAACTTATTGAATTTGGTTATCGGGCACCAATTGAGAGTCGTGATATCTCATCATTTTTGGTTTGGACAAGGTGTTGGTATTTTTATTTAGAGGGTGTTGATATAAACCTCCTAACTCCTATAGAATATGCACTAAATTAGAAAATTGGTCTGCACTTCTCGTCGACTAGCTAGCACAAGTCGTACTATGTCTATTTACTTTCTTATTCAGTCGATTACCTGTTCTGTTATGACATCATAAAATCTCACCTTCTCATTGTACGTGACTAGTGACTACATAACTTTTGGATTATAATCTTTCAAAATGTTTGTACGTCCAACAATTTATACTTATATAAGAATCGAGAAGTGAAGGGAAGGAAGTATGTTTCTTACCAAATGCACGCACGCATGAGCTTGAAATAGAAATGAACACACAAACATCAAAACACTAGTAGTTCAACGATACCGTAACTGCAAATAGATTTAGTGAAAGCGTTCAAGTTTGAACGATCAATTATTCGCTACTCATCGTACTTGTTTGGTTGGTTGGGATAGTTTATTAAGGAGGGAATGTGGCAGTACATTCTTGGCTGCCTTCTCGTAGGGAGAATTATTCCACAGACAAAGTAGGAAAGACATGAAACCAAACACCAAAGACCCTTTGTAGTATTATTATTTGCTTAGTTAGTTATTATTCTCTCCACCATGCGGCCAAGACGTACGTTAGTCAATTAAAGTACTGTATTTAATTTTATAATTAAAATGTCCCCTTCCTTTGTCATTCATTAAAAAACCTGCTCTTGGGAAAGTCACCTAATGGTGGGTTATAAAAGTCAAAAATACATTTAATTAGTATTATTATTGGTCTCTATAAGATGGCTGCATTAGATAAAAATATCCCACAGAAAAATTACAAATTTCTTGCGGGAATTTTTTCAGAACGTTCAAATTTAGGTTTTATTAGAAGCCAAAATTGTTAGGTTTATTGCAGGGAAAACAATAAGATGGAGACAAAAGAAAAGGGCTTCAAACTTCTGACATTGAAAGTTCTAGGCCTAGCTAATACCTTAGAAACTGAAAACCCTAGAAACTAATAATTCAAAAGGAAAAATATTGGTTACTTGGTTAGTGAATTGTATTGATGACCACCACGTACATTCATTACTGTATGCTTAGTCTGTGTGTAAAATATGAGAGATTCTAGCTAATATGTATTATTTATCGATTATCACACTTAGACTTTGTAAATGTGTAACTTCTAACGTTAATGTTATTTCTCGATTCATACGTATCATTCTTGTGCACGAATCATGATAGTTTTTCCTTGTAGAATTCAAATATAATCGGGTGCCCCAAAATGATGATGGCGACTAATGTTACTCCTAACTAATCATCAAAGTAATAGGTGGAAATTTGATGCTTATCAGCTTATATAATTTTAAAGAACAATAAAAAAAAAGTGATAGCAACTAGCTATAATGAAACCACCTTGTGATCAACAACTATGCATAACCTAATCAGAATTCACCACATCGCCGCCCTTTTCTTTCTTGAAAAGTCTTTAATATTTCTTCGTAATATTTAACAGGCGATTTCTCACTCGTTTTAAGTCAAAATTTATTTTTTTTTGCACAGTTAGGTCAGATTAAATGTGCTCTTCAAAATTATATCCACTTTGATATATTTTTGGAACAAAAAAATTTGTCATTTTTTACCAGTCTATACCATATGGTATTGACTGTATTGAAATAAGAGCATATCTAGGTATGAAAAGCGTACCATGATGGTATGAACAAACCAAGACTATATGATGGTTGAATACATGATATTAGAAGTATATTAACTGTCATTTACGACTTTTAACATTGTGTACCACAAGATACCACCCCGTACCAGGGTGGTATTGTATGGTATTTTTTGATCCTGTATTTTGTTCACCCAGAAAATTGTAGATCCAATAGATCATGATGAACTCGTTCCTTCAGTGAAAAAATTTCCAAAATGAATTAAAAACGAAGAAGATACCATATGATATGCAGTTGGTACCGAGAGGCACAAAAAAAAAAATCTCAAAATATGAAAAATGAATATCATTTTGTAGAGAACAATGAACTCGTTCCATCTGTGCAAACAAAATTGAAATTCGAGTTAGATATGAGTCGATTAAGAAAACAAGAAAAAAATTAAAAAGACTTTTAATTCTTTACCCTTAGATCTGAATTTTCTGAATGAAAGATACAGATTTAAGTATTAATAGGTGCATGTTATGCACCGTATCTTCCGCCCGGTCAACCTTTTTGCATAGAGAATATTACCATCATCTACCATTACTGTATCACTATGGTAATGTTTTATACCAACCAAAAAAAAATCTGGTACTACTGTACTAGTAATTATGACCAATAAATTAAATTAATGAAGTACAAAATACTCACCGAATTTCCCGCCAGAAACAGAAAAAGACGACCGCAGAGGAAGAAGCTGACAAAAAGCGAGAGGATATTGGCCAAATTCATTTATTTTTATTTTTAAAAAAGAGAGTAGAGACTAGAGAGGAGTAGTATAGTTATATAATTATTTATTTGGCTTTTTGTGCCTTTCTCCAACCTCCAGTAGTGTCCGCCACTGGACAAAATAACAACACACAAAAGTCCCACTCCCAAACCCAACGCCTCAAGAAAAATACACAAAAAACAGCATTAGCATTCCTTTTAACCCAATGATAAAACTAACTTTTAAAAGCCTTCTTAAATTGCAGTAAAAATAAGCAAGGTTCGTTCCCCGTCAACTCAATACTAGAACCAATCTCAAGAAGTTAATATCTTATGGCGTATTTTTCGGAATACATTTCTAACTTTCATTTTCGAGCTCATCCAAAGAACATAAACCAATCCAAGTCGCACACCTTCATTGTCATCAAGAAGAATCTTCAGCAAAATGCTAGAATAAGAACTCAGCAATCTGATTGAACGCTACACTCGAATTCATATTCCTGAACTAATTTAACAATCTGATTGGAAAACATATTCAAATCCATATTTCTGAAAAAACCCATTACTTCAACTTCAATCGAGATTCAAGTAAAAATAAATAAATTCAATCGAGATATAATAAATAATTATATAGACTCTTAAATACAATTTGTCCATGATCATTAATAACCAAAACACCATAAGCTACCCTCAGAGAGTACACCACCCATCGTAGTAAATAACTTAGGTGTTGTTTGCTTATGGAATTTGGATGTTGGATTTGGTTCTCAAATACCAACCATTATGTTTTTGGACAATAACATTATTTGTTAAGAAATGCAAATTAGTGAGGTTCATGGATTTGGACAATTTTTTAGCTCCAAATCCGTGGACCCTCCGTGTTTGCAAATACCATATTTTATCGAGTATTTGGTTATGAAAAGCAAAATTTCGAGACCCATATACAAAATCATCTTAACCCATGACAAAAAAACTCAATTAAACAAACAAAGTTATTTTTTAAATACAAAATGCGACAAATCTATTATAAATCTAAAAAATTTCAAATTTCAAAACGTTAATTTTCAAATACAACAAACAAACCAGCGTATTAAGACGGATTTGCTTATTGATTCACTCTTTGAGTGGGAAACTAGTAAGAACATAAAAACGCGGCAATCCAGCTTTCCCTTCCCTCCCTGTAAGACCCAACCTAAACCCAACTCAAAAAAGCAAAAACCCTCTAGCCGAAAAAAGAAAAAGGAAAAAACTCCCTTATCTTTCTCTGTCCCCTGCCTTTTCCTCCTTCTCTATAAACAATTCTTCCCTCCCTCCTTCCCCTCGCTGCTTCACTTCAGTCGTTACTTCACTCACAGTTGCAGCAGCAGAGACCAACACAACAACCATGGACTGCCACAGGAATTCTCTTCTCACCTGGGCTTACTTCTGCCATGGAAAGGTAACATTAAACATTTCTTCCCCTGCCCCTTTCCCTTTCCTTTTATCCCTCCCCTGAGTATCTAAAACAGAGGAATTCCAATTTCCACATTTACAGAGCATGGACGAACTGAAGCACTCACTCCTCTACACGACCCTGGAGCTCGAGCAGACCCGGATGGCGGCTCAGGAGGAGCTCAAGAAGCGAGACGACCAGCTGATTCAGCTCAAGGAGTTTCTGGGGAAAGCAATTCGTGAAAGAGACGACGCTCAGGAGAAATGCCAGAGGGTTCTGCTCGAGAACCTCTTGCTCCACCAAAATTACAACCAAAATGCTCCTCCTTTGTCAGGGATTTCCAGCATTGAAGACGAACCCAGAAGAGGAATCGACTCCAACAACAACAACAACAATGGGTTCTCGTCTTCGGATTGCGAAGAGAGCATCGTTTCCTCACCGGTTCTCGACCCAATTCCGCAGCCGCAGGCAGGACAATTGCCCCTGCCGCTGCCGGCGGAGGAGGCAGGGGAGGTACTACTGCCGGAGCCGGAGAAGCCGTTGCCGGAAAAGGGGAAGCTTCTGCAGGCGGTGATGAAAGCAGGGCCGCTGTTGCAGACTCTGCTTCTGGCTGGGCCGCTTCCTCAATGGAGGCACCCGCCCCCACCGCTCGAGTCATTTGAGATACCGCCGGTGACTATCCTTTCGCCGCCGGTGACGTTCCCGGCGACTCCTCTGCCGCAGGATTCCTCTTTCAACGGGAATGGGTTCTGCAGCAGGAAGAGGGTTGTTCCCGATGGTGGATTCTGTGAGTCCCCAACTGAAACTAAGTTCCACAGAGTAGCTCTCCATTGACATCTCATTACACCCCAAAAAAAAAAAAAAAACAACAACTATATACTAGTTTCTTCTTTCTTCCCTTTTAGTTCCAAGGTATCACAAAACTAAAGACTCTTACTTTACTCCCAAGTTTTACCACTAAAGCCTTAGAGGAGGGTTAATTCTGAGGGACTGATATAGTATGGCAATGGAGCAAGCAGCCATTTTTGTACATAGAGAGGGTTTGTTCATTTTCCTTGTTTTTTAGCAGCTTCCTTCCTTCCAAAGTTCCACTTTTGATGAGAAGTGGAAGATGGGGGCAGAGTAGTAGTAGTAATGGTAGTGTTGGAGAAGAGAAAGCTTGAGCCTTTAGGCTTTTTCTTCACTTTTCCCCCCATTGAAGGGCAGGGGAATTTAGTTATGGAGGAGGTTTTGACATACAAATCTTCTCTCCTTGAAATATTGCTAAGGAGTTTGAGATGAGAGAGATACACTTTGTGTAAGGCTAAGAGCAGCAAAGTGTGATTGATTACAATGTAGTAAGTAATGTTTGGTTGCTCTTGATTTCCTGTTTGTTTGTTTGCTTGTTTTTCCCCTTCTTGAGAATCCGAGGGGAATGGTGGATGTGGTTGAGAAGTTGGTGGTGGTAAAGTTTGAAGAAGTAAAGGTTGAGAAGAAGGCCAACAACCAGTAGAGAGAGAGATAGGTCACATAGACTTTTCCTTTTAGGTTAGAGGGAGTGGATCCCCACAAATCCCATTTCAGGATCTATCTACTGCTCTTTTTCTTCTTCTTCTTCTGCAGCTGCTGGTGTCACTGTCGCTGTTCATGGCGGTGGTGGTGGGTGATGATGATGTATGGTTAGTGTGATAATGGAGATTAGTGTTCACTATTGAGCAGGCAAACTAGTGTTATTGTTGTAATTTACAAAGGAAAAGGAAGAATTATGTTATGATTGTATGTTCCTTTTGTTTTATTGCTCCCTCAAAGAGGGTAAAGCCTCTTTTCCTGCTCCCCCCATTAACAAAACCTCCCACTGTTCTTAGAAACTTGTTTATATTAATGGAAAAGAAAAGAACAACCCTGAATCCTTAAGTCGTCTAGCCTGCTACTAGTGTTCAAAAAAAAAAAGTCTAGCCTGCTACTTTTGTGTTTATAGGACACCCTGCGCTACAGTCTATAAATTATAAAGTATAAACCAACCCTATACCGGAAGTTCAAAGTCCAATGCTCAAGTCAAATAAGCACAGAAACGACTCTGTTATTCAACGGTAGCCAGAAAGTTCACAATAATGCCACTTGCCACATCAAGTGCAATTTTGTTAATATGAACAGGATAGAGCATCTGTAGACATAGTTGCACCGAAGTTCAAACGATACTGCAATCTAAATCGTCGAATGTACGTGGTGATATTTTTGTAAATTAGGCTAATGCATGCACGGTACATGCAATCACCGAGATTGCTGTCCGCGAAAAGCGCCTCTGTTCATCATTTTAGCAAAATCCGAGCAAGAGAACTTAGAGAAGCACGTAATGGGAAAGAGTGGGAAACTTGAAAACCTGACAGTACGTGAAGCAGCGGGCAAACCCATATTTGATATTGGCGACTGAAGTTGGCTGTCAACTGCAGCTGGAACACCTAAAAAGGCCGCCATTCCATGACATGCTTCCTTGGTCTACACGGCAGAAGATTGCAGACTTGGACCAAAAGTCCCTGAAAATAACTGACAGCAAAAGACTGTCTTATTTCTAGCTCCTCCATTTGCCAAGAGGTCCTGAATTTTCCCACCTCTTAAGCATCGCCATCATCTCATTAGCCCTGTAAAAGAAACAACCCTTCTATTCTTCCTTTCCAGTTAAGCTTTTTGGGGGACCTTAAGCGGAAATCCCGTTCATTACATGCTCCACAGTCCAGAACAAAGCTTTGACTTCAAACATATATTGCAGAACATAAAAAGAACCTTCCAGTCAAGACTCCAGAAACCCGTAAACAAAGACCTACTGTACATAAAAGGAGGAGAGCAAGTTGCAAGATAGAAGTGACATCAAATGTAATTTGCCCGTTTGTTTGATTAGATTGATTCTCCAAGTTCCAGTCACTTCTGTGGCAGATAGACAGTGCTTCTCTGTCCTAACCTTAGAAGCTGCAGCAGACCCAGTTAAGTAGCATTACAAGTCTGCAACTCTAGCATTAAATTTTTTCTTTGCTTACAACAAATATTCTAGAGGTTTAAGCTTGTCATGGTGCTAAGTTTAGCTTACTGCAACAACAATCTGTACAGTGCAGCAAACATGACTCTGCCATCTGGCTTCTTGGAAGAGGGACGAATGAATTTGAGATCTTTGCTGAAGGCAATAAAAAGGCAAATCTGAAAAATCTGCTGCTCAATCATCTTCATCATCTGCCTCGGGGTTTGGTTGGTTGTGCTTCTGAGCATTATACATCTCGGCCACCTGGTAAACAAGCAACCATCAGTAACATATGACCCCAGCCAAAAAAGATACGTGCAGCTAGCTAGCAACTACACCCTCCTTCCTCCTTTTTCCCTTTGTCGGTTTTGTTTACTTTCCCTCAGGTTGTTATTTCCTATTTACGTTTATCTGAGTCGTAATGCAACAGAATTCACCTGCTCGGCTGATGAAGCTTCCTCTGGAGTCTTGTCTGTTCTGACACGTAACATACGAGGGAACCGCAGAGAAATACCCTGAACCAAGAACGCAGACTACTGTTAGAAAGAGAAACCCATCTGAAATATAAAAATCTAACAGGTTTTCATATAACCCTAGTCACTGCAGCAGAAGGGTTCCCTGTTTACTTGTGTAAAATGAGTTTCTAGCTCAAGAGCAAAATCTGAAAGTTATCATAGTATGCAAGACCTTATTAGGATCCACCGCACCAATTGCTGCACAATGGACAGGGCTGATTGTCAGGTCTGCAGCTTTCACTTCCCATACCTGCTCATTTGTCAAGAGAATGAGGGGGCAAACATAGCAAAAGTTACAACTAGGTTCCACAGTTTAAGTTGATGACCACTTTTTTGTAGTTACCCAAACAAACAGGGAAAAAATATCGAAATAACTGCTCAGAAATAAAAATTATCAGTTGTTATTAGTCATTACCTCAGAAGGCTCAAACCAAACATCTGGATTCAGCTTCTCTCCAAACCTGAAGTATGTCTGAAATGAACATTACAGTCAGAACGGAACAAGGGAAAGTACTAACTACTATTTACTACAACATTGTCAACAGTTACAATAACACAAGAACAGGACCTTTGGTTCGGGAATCACTTTCGTGCGTAGTCTAGTAGAATGTTCTTCAAGCTGTGCTTCACTGAATCCCGTACCTGCCGTACCACAGCAATGACAACACAGCTTCAGCATAAGTAGAAAACACTGCTTAAATGTTGAGAATCCCACCATGACGAAACATCTTCACCAACAAAAAAAAAAAAAAGCACCTAAGAGCAATTAAGCAGAGTGAAAAGACAGTGTTCTCTCACCCAATTTACAGATACTTTGATATTCCTCTCTGTCATTGTCATAACAAGCAAGGAGAAAAGCACCATAGAACCCTGAGGAAGGAGCAGCATTACCAGCATGAAGCAAAATGGAACATATACATGATAATGAAAGTACAACTGTAGCCAGCAACAGTCGCATTACCTGTACGCTTCCCAGTACCATGGAAAGCACCAATGGGAACCAGATCAAATGAATCCCCAAGGCTGTATTGCTAATTTCAATCAGAGTCGATGAATATAGATCCAGACAGTATCCATAAAAGGGGTAATCATATCATACCTTTCCATATAATCTTTCTTTAATTTTAGCCAGTTGCGTGATCGTTTTGAAGGTTCATATGTAGCATCTTTGTTCAGTGTTTTGATGATCAAACCCTCAGAACTGCAAAGCCAAAAAAGAGACACTCAGCAAAGTTGACAGTAGTTATAACTATGCATCACAGAACCAACCCCATGAATCGTAAAGCTCATGAAAATGAGGGGGAATGATGATTCCAGAAATCCTGCTTCAAAGTTAGGGACTTAAGGTTCAGAGAAATATAATAAGCAGTGAACAGGTTGCATAGATTTGATTCAGGCACCAGTTGATGAAAAAGGTACAGCTGCTCACACACACACACTCGATCATATGTTACATATCACACTCATGAAACTGTGATCTGTATATCAATCACAAACTTAAGGAGTATTAGAAATGACCTAGAGTCAACAGCTGCATTCAGAAACTTCTGTATTTCCTCGAGGTCGTTGGATGTTATTGCTGTTGCATACTGAAAGAATCCAGGTTCAACCTCAAATGAATCATACAGCCGCTGCATACAGTCAAAGCCACCACCATCATAAACAGATAGGTTATATCCCAAGCTAGAAAACTTACATTTAGAATTAAAACATACAGGGATTCATACATGATTAAAGGACTTCTTGTATGTTTTGTAACCATAAAGGGAAGAAAAATACATGAAGATACTTAAATCTAATCATATACAATTAATATAAATGTGAATTATATTTAAAGAGAATGCTACCAAATAAAGTCTGTGAGGGCCGGTCAACGTCTGGCAATGGTCCCACTTTCATAATGACATTTATTTTGGATAGATATAAGTGACCTATTTCTACAAATTGAATCAAACGCCGCAGGATACTTAGTTGATACAATGATGTTTACAAGTGCATCGCAATAAGATCAGTTTTTACTAACCAACAACAGATAATCAATCCTAGGTTTAAATATAAACTGAGTTAATGTCACACATCATTGTCTTCAGAAAGACATTTGATTCAAAAATAGGGCTATAGAACCAACGCTTCACTCGGAACTAAATTCAGCAGCTTGCAAGTGAGGAAGCTAAAAATCGCAACAGAGTACAGGTTCTTCTTCAACATCACCCTCTTCTCAATTAGAACTGAAAGGAGATGGATGGGCTTGGACTAGTGCTACAAGTGATGAAATACATTCAACCAACCCAGGGTGTAAATCTTGTAAACAAGATCCGCCATCACCCAAAAGGTCAAAAGCAGAGAAAGGATATCAATATCACATTTTTAAGCGATAATAGAAACTCCACAAGATTCTCAAGCAACATGAATGAAGAAAACACAAGCAAAGTACCTTTCGACGAACTTCCAACTGTTCTTGAATAAGTGGTTCACCGTTAAGATACAGCATGTCAAAAGCAAATATGCACACATCAACCTTTATCTCACTCATGACCACATTTTTGCGGGCCCGGGTACTAAGGATCTGATGGAAAGATGAACATCACGCACATTCAGAATAAACGATCCCAGTTTATTCATTGAAGTTTCCAAGTTCTTCAGAAACTTCAGAGAGACAATAAAAAGGGCGTCCATTGTAAACAGATTTAACCCCAGATATCAAACCTGAAAAGGCAGGATTTTGTTTTTTTCTCGGTCATAGGCAACCAGTTCACCATCCAGAATGAATGATTTCACAGAAGACTTCTTCAACCTGGATAGGAAAAAGACATTAATGCAAACAATCTACTAGCATTTAGCACCCACAATGAACAGTGTAAATTAAAAAGAACCAAATGCTAGAACAATGTATTTCATATATGCAAAATCCTTGAAATCCCTCAAATGCATACCAGTAATCTAACAGTGGCAGAGCCAACGTTGCATTACTAATCCTATTTAGTTTTTCAAAGTTCTCTATCCATGCACAAAACGTAGACAAGCATGTACCCAAGATCTGATCTCAGATGAAGAGGTCAAAGATTAGAAGATAACAGAGAGGCCAAAGATGTTTATGGCTACCAACAAAAGCATGCCACTGCTTGTTCATCAAGAGGCAATTAAAAAAGAATTCCTACAAAGCTTAAGAGCAATGCACTTAGCTAAATTTTACAAATAGTCTATGCCATGGGGTTGTATCTAGAAGCAAGGCACAATTTGCTAGCCAATCGACAGATCACATATTAGGTCCATCATCACAACCAAGCTCTGGTTACCTTGAAATTGTAGCCACAACATCAGGAAACTTCCCAGTGTTTCGCTCAGCATTCCTGCTGTATATCTCAACTGAACCATCCTCCATATAGTGAATCTAAAACAGGAAGACAAGTCACAAGACAAATACAAGTAAAAGCAATCATTAAAAACACAAATGCTTCTCCTAGGAGCACCTGGGCACGTTCTCCATCATACTTGTATTCACAAGTGAATTCTATATCCTGGAATTTATTTACTATCTCAGAAACAGCCTTGGTTGATTTAGCAAGCATCGGTGCAACAGGAACACCAGGCACAAGGTTACATGTCTTGGAAAGATTCCATACACCATTACTGAGAAGAGCAGGGACAATTATATCATATACAGGAAGGACTGAGTAGACTCCTTTAACAATGCGCACGGCCTGAAACAGGATGTTAAAATAACCAAGATCAGAAGCTATGTCATGAACATTTCAACTAAACATTCTCTGATGAAGTGACTACACTTGATTATTCATGACTACCCCCACTCACAACCTTGCTGTACTGTTCAAACCTTGCAGAATCATGGAGTGAAAGTGAAGTACGAAATACTAACTCAAGATCAAATTCTGAAGGAACCTCTGGACTGTTTGAGATGGGGCGGGTTACTACCTTAGTTTGAGAACACTACTCCAGTTCACTAATACAATTATTTGAGACGCAAGAAAAGAGAAACATTCAGATGACAGGCAGCCTCACAATTTCCAGAAAGCTGCCAGGTCAACTATTAGTTTACAGTAACATTTGAGAAGCAAGGTGATGCAGATGAGAGCATACTAGATGACCAATTATGAACATAATGGTTTAAGATACCTAATACAGAAGGATAAACAGTATTTAGTTGGAGTGCTTCAACAGACCTCTTCCAAAGGTGACTGAACATTTGAAGGTGGTTTAGAATGCTTCTCGATATACGCAGCAGCCTGGCCTAAAGCAGCCAAAAGAGTCTGCTCTGAAAAACCAATTCGCAACTTTGACTGTGAAATCAATCACAAGAAGGTCAGAAGACTGTGAGAAATAGTCAGCAGATAGAATATTGCAAGAAACATACAACTACCTAACCTGAAGCAAGCGCATAATATATTGAGGCTCACAGTCAATGGCTGCCACAAGAAGTCCCTTGATATGTTTCCTCTTGCTGTCTTGACTATCCTTACCAGATTGCTATCAATAATCATAACAACATGCAACAAAGTCAATCACAAAGTGAGGGGAGCTACTTAATGTCCTACAATTTTGCAGTAAGATAAACTTCTAAGGGTGCTAAACAAAATTCCAGCTAAGAAGGCATAGACAGAGAACCTTAGCAATCAATCGAAATGTGTCGAAGACTTTGGCCACTGTTAAAGATTCAGGCTTGGACATTGTCCGTTGAGTCCTGCGGCTAGCTTTAGCAACAAGCCCCAAATCTCCCATCTCCTGCATTTGACCAAATTATAACATCTTCTGCAAGATTGAGCCAAAGATCAACAACCAAGAAAAGCAGCCAACCTGGTACATCTTCTTCACATCCCTCTCCATCTTCGAGTAAGCCTCCGCCAGTGCTTTGATCAAGATTGCTTCCCCAATCCCAAGCTCAACCCCTTCATGAGCGGGCGCAATCTTGTTAGCCAAGAGATAGACAACCGGAAGTAAATCATCCGGGGTAGTATCCATCACAGTCCGCAGCATATTGCACACGATATCGGTAATCACAATCCTCCCACTCTCGTTAGCTATCATATCAAACGCCAAAGAAACAAAAATGAAAGGGATCCTCTCTCCCTTCTCCCAGCACGCCACTTTCTCCGGCTTGAATTCCTTGGCTTTCTTCTTCAAATCCCCAACCTTGCTCTTCAATTCCTCAACCCTATCGTCGGCGCGGATTTTCTTCGAACTACAAGGCATGAAAAACGACTTCTGCGCACCGTCCGCCTTGGGCAGTTCCGATTTCTGGTCAGTGGAAGAATCGCCGCCATGAGCGGCTGGTTCAGGGTCGGGAACCTTCGCTTCCGGCGCTGAATCGGGAGAAGCGGATGCGGGTTTAGGGTTTTCGGGCTCGGCGGCTTTCCGCTTCTTGGGAGACTGAGCTTGGGGCTTATTCTTGTAGACGGATTTGGCGTTGGATTTGAGAATGTCGAACGCGTTGGGGCGATTAGACATCTGTGAAGTAGGGTTTAGGAAGAGAGCGGAAGAGGGTTTTGGGAGGAAGGAGTGGGGTTTAGAGAAGAAATGGAAGGAGCGGAGAAGGGAGATTGGTCGACGGCAGGGAGGGGAAACGGGTAATGTGAGAAGAGAAACGAAGCATGGACGGAGAGTAAGCATTCACAGGACTGACAGAAATTCAATGGCTGCCGGATTTATTCTGAGTTGACGAAGACGAAGGGAGGAAGAGTGGAGTGAAAGCTTTGGGAGAGCGAGCTAAATCTTTTGGCGGGAGCGGGGCGTTGGACTTTGTTACAACGACCATCGCCATTTTCAACGCATATTTTTTCTTGATTGGAAGACGGCCATGCCAGAGTCAGATGGGCTGGGTTCTGGGCTCGGCCTAACTCTTTCTGAGGTCTAGTCAAGGATAAAAAGGCCACATTAGTCAGCTCGAGTTGGGCTTACCGTTTTCAAACTCTATCGTGGGCTACGCCCATTTCAACCCTATCGTAGACAAGCCCACACGATAGTCCTAAAAGAGGAGGTTTTATGGTAGCCACCAGATTTGCATGTGAAATTGTGAATAGACCATAGACGATGAATAATGATGAGAAATGATGGAGAAATGCTAATGAACACATCTATCTTCCGATTGATATGACGGTGCCCTTTGATTGAAGCTGAGTTTGTGCCATGAATGATGGATAATGCCGTATCCCATTCCAAATTTGACTTTTTCTGTAATCGAGCATCTCACCAGTGCTCTTGTTTCATGTCAAACTGATTAAAAATTATACGATTTATCCCTAATCCTTCAAGCAACTGGATCGGATCGTTCTTTGTAATTGATTTGACGATTTTATTTGTGCGATTCGGTTTAGAGCTGGCAGTTGGGGGTGACGTGGAAAAATCAAAAGCGTAACTTTCATTCGCTGCTTCCACGACAGCTATCAGTGGGGGAAATCCAAAAGCCAGTAAAAGAGGGAAAAAGGAAAGTGTCAAAGTAAAGCCAAACCAGCTCAAAATTTTAAAATAAACAAAACCAAGCAAAAGGGCGTTTAACTCGAAAAATTAAAATCGAGAGCAGAGGAAGCCAAGCCAACAGATCAAATCGGCTCCCCGAAGTACCGAAGCCCACTCCACTTTCCTCCCCCCAGCGAGTCCTCACTTTCTCGCAACCGTCCCTCCGCCATCGCTGCTGGTCCCCCAGCTCTCCAAGCTCCAAAATCCTGCCAAAAGATAAGCTCAAAAGGCGACACCAGAAAGATAGTCGTCGTCGTCGACGACGACAGCGCTGTTTCCTCTCTCGTCGTTTCCTTTCTCCTGTCGCCATCGCTGCTGTTAGTTACTGCTCCTTCAATAATCGTCGTCTCTGTCTCGCTCCGATATCGCTTAGTAGTACCTCGCAACAATAAGTAAGTCTGCATTAACTCTCTTTCCCCCGCCTCTCTCTCCCGCGCGCCATGGAGCTGCATTAATGGCGGCCTAGTTGCGGTTACCTTTTCAATTTTTTTTTCTCAAGATTATCCTCATTCGTCCCGTGAGCTTCTCTCATTCTTCAAATTCTTGGAATTTTTCAATTCTGCTGAATTGAGTTGCGATCTGCCATGATTCCATTGTTATGTTCTGGCTATTTCTGGATTTTGAAATCCTGTTGTTCTGGCCGGTTGCGACGAATCTGGTTCGATTGAATTGTCTTGTTCCAGCTGGAATTGTGAATTCTGATTTGCTGCCGGTTCTACTTTCAGCGAGTGGAGAGGTCTAGGGGAGAATTGGTAAGTTGCTGGTGTGCAATTGCTGTTCTAGGTAACGGTTAGGGTTTTGGATGTGGTGGGAATGGAGGCGAGAATGAAGAAGTACCGGCAGGTTAGTCCGGAGCGAGCCAAAGTGTGGACGGAGAGGTCGCCGAAGTACCACCAGCATCGCAAAGTCCCCGTCGTTTATTACCTCTGCCGGAATCGTCAGCTCGAGCATCCTCATTTCATCGAAGTCCCTCTCTCGTCGCCCGACGGTCTCTACCTCAGAGGTCGTCTACCGTCTACATCTCTCATTTCGGGTTTCGATTTTGTCTTCTCTCGATTTGCTTTGAGATTTGATGAGTTTTTGTGGTTGTGCAGATGTGATTGAGAAGCTTAACGTGCTGAGAGGCAGAGGAATGGCTTCCATGTACTCATGGTCCAGCAAGAGGTGACAAAAACTATCATAATTAGATCTTTCTATATCTACTCAATTTTGTTTATTCATGGAGTGTTTGGTTGCTGGGAAACTAGCTAGAAAGTCTCCAGGCATGAAAAAAGATTTTGAGTTTCTGAATCTTCCCTTTTTCTCCTGGTCCCTTGGTCTGTTGCAGAAGCTACAAAAGTGGATTTGTTTGGCATGACCTTTCTGAGGATGACCTGATTGTTCCTGCTCATGGAAATGAGTACGTTCTCAAAGGTTCTGAACTATTTGAAGATTCCAACCCAGGTTAGCCAGCTAGTGTTTTTATGTTAAGACTTGCTTCTCTCCTTTTAGAAGCTTGAGGGCCTTAAAGATTGGATATTGTTCTCCAGATCGTTCCGCCATTGTTGGAACAGTGAAGATCCAGAATAATCTGAAACAATTGCCGGAACCATCTTCTTCCAGAAGTCAAGACGATTCTTCATCTTCATCAAGCTTGTATGGGAAGGAAACAAAGCTCTCTCAGGAGGACGAGCTTTCCCCTCCAGGGCAACGTCGTGATGGTTCCTCTAGCATATCTCCGGAGTCCAGAGATGGGAAAAATTCTACTTGGAGTGGTTCTGTCGGGTTGACAGAATACAAGGTCTACAGAAGCGACGGGGTTGCACATGCTGCCACTCAGACTGAGGAGAATAATGTAACCGGGCCTAAATCAAGAGAGACTTGCACTCGAGGCGTCTCCACTGACGATGGTTCGCTAGAACGTGAATGCAATGGTGATTCTCAGAGGCAGTTGCCTCGTGCGAAGAAGAATTACTCCGAAACGGGCGAGAATTCAGCTTCACCTCCACCACCATCTACTACTTCCAGTGGTGCATCTTCATCTGGCGGCAAAACCGAAACTTTGGAGTCTTTGATCAGAGCCGATGTGAATAAGATCAACAGCTTTAGGATACTGGAAGGGGAAGATGTTCGGATGTCAACAAATCCACGATTAAAGGCCACGAACGTGCTGATGCAGCTGATCTCCTGTGGGTCTATATCAGTGAAAGATCATAGCTTTGGCCTCATCCCAACTTACAAGCCGAAATTTTCCCATTCTAAATATGCCTCTCCATTGTTCTCGACGTCAATCATGTTTGGAGAGCTCGATTGCCTGTCGGAGAACCCTAGGTTGATGAGCTTGAGACTGGAAGATAAAGAGTACTTCAGCGGGAGCTTGATCGAGACAAAATTGCCCAAGGAGGAAGCAACTACCCTGAAACGCTCCTCCTCTTATAATGCAGACAGGTAATGCTAGCGGATCAAAACCTTGTTTAATAACTTAGTTTAACTTGCTACACACCCCTTGGTCTCATTATATGACATAAATTCATTTGATTGATGGTGTGCATTGAGTGGTGACTGGAATTATCATTCGACAGAACTTATAGTTCCTTTGGCTGCAAGCAAAACCATCATTTATTTTGAGTTATTCTGTATCTCGCGCGGGCCACCCTTTGATTATGAAACACAAATCTTTTTGCAGGACGTCTAAGCAACTGAATCCGAGCGACAATGGTGAAGAATCAACCTCTGGAGTGGGTTCAAAGTGCATTCCGCTAGCAATGAAGGCCTCCTCGAGCAAGCACCCTCGATCTACCACAATGCGCTCCCCTACCTCCGAAAAGCCTCGAAACTCGTCTGATGGGGCAGCTGGCCTCGAGACCCCTCAAGGTGGCAGCAAAAGAGTCGTCACAGAGCCCGGCTCCGGCAGAAAACAGCCCCCGAAACTGGAATCCTTCAGGGAAGTAGAGACTAACAACAACAACAACAACAACAATGTGATCCAAATTGAAGAAAGTTGAGTATCGACTTTGATCCATCTCTCTACATATTCGCATTCTAGCTTATCAATATTCATCTCCACTGACATATCAACTCATTACTGTAAACAGGCTTGCTTCAGGAGCTCGGGTTATAATCCAGTCCCAGGCATTACCATGTCAAGCTGCTGCTTGCGGTTCCTAGCAGACAGACGAGTACCAACCAAGCCTGCAATTCTGGAAAAAAAGTGTATGTACCATCCCATGTGCAGAAGCTCTGTCTATCTCCAGAATGAAATTCGAATTTTGAAATGATTCGTGGTATGGCTTTGGGTCGCCCCACCATCAGCCATGTGATTGATTATTTATTTGATTCGGCTACCGGTAGAAAAAAATCTCAAAGGCTGGTGGTGAAAAGCAAAGATAAAAAAAAGGAAAGCCAAAGGAACTCAGTCATCACTCATTTGTTGCAGTGGAGCAGCAGCAGATCTCAGAACTTGTTGTCCCCTCACTGACTGAGATTTCTCAGCTAGCTTTTACTTGAATGAGAATTCCCCTTCCTTTTCCCTCCATAACGTAGCTGCAGCATCCCCACTTTTTCCCCCCGTCACATCATGTCTCGATATCTCACTGCTGAAACTTGAGAGCAGGATTGCCTCTTTGACATAAAGTGTTTCATTTTCCCTACTTGTTTTTGGGCGTGTATACGGAAGCAGTTGTGCTATATTATATGCTTACCCTGAGATGGTGTGTTCAAGTTCAACCCGTGTCGATGGCATTGTACCGCTCAACGTGTTTCCTCGATCGGTGTTATCTATAAAACATACCATCATGTTTGATACAAAGGAAAAGGATGATAATGTGTTAGAGAGCGAGAGCAACCCATTCACGTCGTAACAACAAGGCATGTGGTGAACAATTTGCTGCGATTCAAATGAGATGAAAATCGTAGGCGCGGCGGCCACTTTCCCTCCTCTTTCATAGAAACAAAAAAACAAGACACTTTCCCTCCATCCATGTACCACTGGGGACTAATTTTCACTTGCTCCCAAATAGTCAGGGACCAATTTTTAACCTTGCTTGCTGTAGCCACTTGTTGCAAAGCTTCCAAAGTATGAGAAACAACAACCAACATTCATCACCCTCTTTTTTTTCCTCCTCAGTCCTCACTTCTACTTTCCCCCCTTCCAAGAGCACAGCAGCTAAGCAAAGCAAACCCACTACCTTAGAAGAAAGGGGCTTTATTAAATTGACAAGATGGCAAGTGGAAATACCTGGGAGTAGAGGTGGCAAATGGATTGGATTGGTGGATTGGTGGATTGGATTGGTGGATCCGTGGATCAAATGGATTGGATCTAATGGATTGGTGGATTCATGGATTGGATCAAGTGGATTGGTGGATTATCCATGAATCCAAATGACATCCTCAACCAAGGACCAATATGTAAAATGTAAAAAGTTTAGGTACTAAAATGTCACAATGAAAAATTTTAGGTACCAAAACGTAATTTTCCATTAATATTTTTCGTATAAAAAATAAAATTTTAGGTACCAAAATGTAAAAAAATAAAAATTATAGGTACTAAACCGTAATTTGCCAATGATCCATGGATCCAATCCATGAATCCACCAATCCAATTGGATTTGGATCAAATGGATTGGATTTAAATGGATTGGATTAGGTAGATATTTTTAATGGATTGATGGATTGGATTGGTGGATTGGATTGAAATTGCCACCTCTACCTGGGAGCAAAGGTTTATGTTATATATGGCCTGTGATGTGAAGGAGGGCATCCAATGCAAGAAACAGAAGGACAGGCAGCAGGCAGGTTATGCCCTACTTGACTTCTGGTTGGAATTTTTTTTACTAGTCAAAAGAGGGCCACAAATGAAAAGGTGATTGACTTTGTAGAAACACAGCATCAGTTGCTATAGCGGGTCGAGCATCGAGGCAAACACAAACAGAGGCATTGCAGTCAGCAGGTCGCAGTTTTTTTTTTTTTTTTTTTAATTTAGTTAAGCTTGCATTATGTTTTATTTAGAATTATTATTTGATTTTGGGCTCTCCAACGCACATTGGATTTGGAGAGACTGATGCACGCTCTAGGAAACCAAGTTAATATGTTAATAGTGGTGAGTTCAACATTTAAGTGGTGGCCGGTGGGGAAACCACAATCTGAAACAATAGCGAAATCCCTCGTAGTTTAATCAGAGGGGAAATGACAACTGTAATTCTGGGACGGAGGGAAGCAAGTGGCCATTTTTTGCTCACACTCACTTGCCTTTAAAAAGGGAAAGGATAAAAGACAAAGCATAGCTAATATAACATTATAACATCACTATATTTCACGTGTTAGATGGTCAAAAATGAGGTTTGTCTGGAGCTCGGATTCCGGAAGCCTAGGAAGCAGTGTGCTTTAGGAGTTTCCGCCTTTTCTCCAGCTTTTGCTTCTCGTAAATCTCCATTTTGGATTCATCAAGAGGAAAATGGAAGCACCAAACAAAATCCAGGGGAGGGTGCTGCTGCAAACCAGCCAGCGGGAAGGGAACCGTGGATTTGTAAGAGACGATTGACGTTGTTGTGCATGTGGGCCTCTCTTGACCCCGCCGTTAGCCCAACAAGGCAAAAAGGCAAAGTTGTTTGTGGTTACGGGCCGTCCTTTAGTGGACCTCTCCTTGTTCTTAGCCCACCATTGTGCGAAATTTTTTTTTTTTTTTAACGAAAATTAAAAATAGATTTTCCGACCTACCGGATTCGAACCAGTGACCTAAGGATTAACTGGCGGATATAACCACTACAGTCCTCCGCTCTACCAACTGAGCTAAGGTCGGTTGTGTCATTAGGGCATAATAATAAGCTAATTAACTTCTATTAATGATGATTCTTCGTGTGTTCTTTGGTCCAAAGACGGATGCAGATGGCCTCCTAAGTACCTATACTACAATAGTTCGTTCTTTCAAACTAGCGCCATATGAAGTCAAACGGTGAAACTCAGGATCGCCCACATCGAAAAGATATGTGTCAAAATTAATCTACTGATTCTTGAAAGTCAATAAATCAGCAACATAGTTCGATTCTCTATAAATATGATGGGTTTTGTGACATCCCAATTTCCCATGAGAAGTTCTCTTATCAGATTGAGAAATCAGAACGTGTCTGTGGTCGGTATCTGCATAATCCTAGATAATGTCAATTGATGTTGAAGAATCCAAATTGAGCAAATTAAACTTTCATGTACCTTGCTTTTCTTCCAAGCAATTTTCAAACCTTCGACGGCTCCTTCCAAGGATGGTCATAGTAGTAGGAAAGTTTACCTTATGACAATGTGATTCACCCTAGTAGAAAAGCGGAAAAGGTTAACTTTCAATAACAAATGAACTAATTCCAGGAAGCTAGGCACAAGCTACAAACTACAGAAACCAGGTAATGGTATATAGTTTCATTTCATAATCATCAGCAAGACAGTAACTAAGCTTTACTACATTATCCAATGATGTACAGATAACGATTGACTATAATCAGTTATAATTAACCACTGCTATTATATATATATATATAAACATAAGTTATAACCACTGATTAGGAGCCACATCGCAAATCTTGGCGAAGATTGATGCATAAATATACACTATAATACTCAGCTGACCCAAAATTGTCGGGCGAATCCTAAGCCAACGTATAAAAACGTCACCTGCTGCGCAAGCCCAGAGACCCGCATTATCAGCTTAACCATTATACTAATCAACATTACCTAATTAATGACAGTGTTTCGACATTTAATTATCTGAAGAAGAAAACAAATGTTGTCGACACGAAACCGCATGGCCAACACGTGGGTCCGTGAGTCCTCTGGAGGGCTAGTGCCGTTTCCGAAGGGCAAGAGCATGCTGACATGGCGTCATTAAGGGCCACCTAATCTAATTGCCCTCTTAATTACGGGACCCTCCCCTAATCCTATAGCTGGCTTCCGTTCTGTACATTGTACACGTACCAAACTTCGTACTAGTTAGGATATATTACATAGATTGGATCCAGAAATTTACAAGTGATTTTTGGGCATTGACATTGCTTATTTTCCGCCGGATTTTAATAAAATATAAATACATTGTAGCCCTAATTGCTAATGATAACAATCTGGATATATAATTAATTATTGGTTTGAAACCTTCAAATGTCTCAGAAGAGTGTCGCCGGGATTGCAATCTAATTGTTAAAGGGAAGAAAAAGGAGGGGAAATTAGGTCGAAGCATGAGTATATTGTAAAGAAACGATAATATTGACATCATGGTGTGACTTTGTTGCTTTTTTTGTAAGTTTTATCAGATCGCTTTTGTTTAATGTTCACAATGAAAATGAAAAACATATTATAAGCCCATAATTTATATATACAATATGACAAATACTGCAATATCAACGATTTAACTTATACATTAAAAAAAACTCATGGTACTGATATAGCGATAATATGGAGATATAGTGTCCATCGCACTCTTAACTATCTCGAATTTTATACCTATTTAACAACCAAAATCGATAGAAATTAAAAAAAAAACTACAGAAAACGAAGTTGTAAGATGTGACATTCTCTCTTCCTTCGACATCCCTAGCTCTCTCCTTATTACTTTTGTCTCCACCAAACACGGGTGGTGAAAAGTTGTTCTTGTTCCAAGTTCTGTCGATATTCTATTTTGGCACGTCGTATTTTCTGTTCATAATTATACGAGTTTTTTTTTAATTTTATTACACCAATTCTCAAACAAGGAATGTTTGATTGACCTATGAGATATGCAAGAAAAAAAATTACTTGATCAGTTGATGTAATTACTAATTACATGATAAATTAATAGATTATTATGTCCTCGAATAAAAACTAGTGAATAGTTAATGGCACAAATAAATAATTTGCACCAAGAAAACATCACCCCGACCTGCTAAATCACTCCCCCAGTACTTCCATTCCTACACAGAGTTCTACTTCTACCGGCTTTTTGATGGCGACTGCTTTGTTTATCAGCTCTGTTAATTTCTTCTGGCCACCACCCTACACCTATTTCCGATCGTCCTTGTCTTTCACCGTTTGTTCTGTCCTCATCTTCTCCGGCCGCATTCCACTAGTAGAGTATAGTATAGGTACTACAAGTAGTGTTATATTATACTACGAGTACTGTTATGTAATTGAGAGAGTCATATTCCTTATCAGAGTCGTAAAAGTTATGTTATTTATGTATTAGTGTTAGGGTTATTATAAAAGTCAGTCTTTGTACTCTATAAAAATCATATGTAGTTTCAGTAATAACACTCTCCCAACAATTCGAGTTATTGAGATCAGCTGGTTCTTGACATGGTATCAGAACTGGTTTGACCAAGTGGTCGTGTATTCGAATCTCCACGACCCCCAATATTAATAGTTGTCTTCAAGCACATGGTATGGTGGGCCTGTGCAAACTTCAAGCCCACGAGTCGGCTTTCGTTTGAGGGCTCGAATTATTGGGAGCAAACGAATGCTTTTTTCTTTATACTATTATATTTCTTGATTCACCCACAGAAACAACCCACTATATGGCAACTTAATTAGCTGCAAATTAACTAACTACCGTCTACCAGCATCTAATTCATTACCTCGTCATATTATCAATATAATAATACGCACACTCATGTCAACTTCCTCTCCAGACAGTTCAAGTTTAAATATGCAAATACACAAACTCCTTCCAACGTCATGATTCCCTGAAACTTATTCCATTCACACAGTTTGAAACCATAAAACAAAACAAATAGTTGATTTGGTAACGTAATGGATATATATGGCGATGGCTACTTGTAGCTAACTAGCTTATACATACTAACCAAAACCATCTTTATATTCCTCAAAAACGAAAAAACAAAAATAAGCAAAACCCTTTCATGGAGAACTTTGGTGTATCCAGTAACATGAACGGAAATGGCGGCAACCACCACCACCACCACAACAACAACTTCGAGCTGCTCGACTTCATCACCGACGCCAACTTCGACCAGTTCGTCGACCTGATTCGAGGCCGTAACGACGACGACCAAGCCGCCGGCGGGGGATTCGACGACTGCGACGACCTCATCCACTCCTTGCTGGTCGACAACCCCCCACACCACGACTTCCCGGCCTCCACAATGCTGCAGCCGCCGCCGCTCGACGGTGGTGGACATTACTATGCCGACGAGGCTGCATTCGTTGACTTGGGCGCTGGCTTCGAGGACTTCGCTCCTCCTCCTCTGGCGCCGTACGATATCATGGGGACGGCGTGTTTCGACGTGGACATTAATGATGTTGATTATGATGATAATGACGATTATGGTAATAACGCCGTTGATTGTGGTGAGGAAGTTTCCTCCGGCACCACCACCACCACGGCGGCGGGTGGGGAGCAGAAGCGGAGGAAAGGTGACCGGTCCAAGACTTTGATCTCCGAGCGGAGGCGGCGAGGCAGTATGAAGGAGAAGCTCTATGCTCTTAGATCCTTGGTCCCTAACATCACTAAGGTAATTATGAATCCTAATTAACCACTACCTATATATTCTTTTCACGAATAATATAAAATTACGTACTGCGTCTTTCATTTTCCTTTTCAAAGAAATAACGGAATAATATTATGTGGTTCACGATTTAGTAGATTTTAATCGCAATAACGTTCTAGACTAAAGTTCGCCTTCGATCTGTAACCTATTCATTGGCCGAAAACAAATTACCTTAATCAACCTTATCCAGTACTGACATACAAAAAAATATTGCGACATACACAACCGTAAGATATGTTTCATTTATCCGAAATTAATAAAAGTATTTTTACATCGCGCGCGGAGAGTTGGAAAAATGCTAAGATGTCATGTTATATTGATGAGCAAATTAATATTATTCAAAATAGGTTATTAATTTTTACTACTACTACTATTACTTCATCGATCAAATATCATGGTTATCTTAACGCGAATTGTTTGAAATGTAATCACATGCGCAGATGGATAAGGCCTCGATAATCGGCGACGCGGTGTCGTATATGCAAGACCTCCAGCTCCGATCAAAGAAGCTACAGGCCGAGGTTGCTGGGCTGGAAGCATCTCTCGCCGCTGCGGGTTCGCCAAAAGCGGCCCAATTCGGTAGCAGGCCGAACCAAAACATTCCAAGGAAACCAATAGGCAACGGCAGCCGTGCAATGATCACCGCCAAGAAAATATTAATGCAGGTCGGTACAAGATTCGGCGCCCTAATTGATTGGAGTATTAAAACGTCTGATTATAATCACTAATTATTAAGATAGTTCTTTGATGATTGATTAACATATTTGTTAATCATTTAATTAATAGATGGATGTGTATCAAGTGGAAGAAAGAGGGTACTATGTGAGATTAGTATGCAACAAAGGGGATAAAGTTGCGATTTCCCTCTACAAAGCCCTCGAGTCCCTAGCCAGCTTCGTCGATATTCAGACCACGAATTTGGCCACGTCAGCTTCGGACAAGTTTATACTGACTTTCACTTTAGTTGTAAGATAATTATCTTGTTTTTTTTCTCCTTAATTACTGTTGGCGCTATTAATTAATGATTTTAAATTTTATTTCTTTGTCCACTTGGTTTATTAATTATCTTGTAATAAATAATAATGTGCAGGATAGAGAGATGATCATCCAGCAAGGGCAGCAGATCGACTTGCCAAATTTGAAGATGTGGGTGACTAATGCCTTGCTGAACCAAGGATTTGAGTTTCTGACGTTGTAGTAAATGTTTTTGTTTTATTACTACTACAAGTTGAATAAAAAATATTGGGACCTCTCTATTTATGGGGATCCTGATGGCTTAAATAGTGATGATAATAAGTTTCGATAGCCGGAAATTACTTGATGTGCACGAATTATTACGACGCTAGAGCGAAGAGATCGTACAAAGAGATGAAATTATATTTCAGTTTTATGTGCTAGATCATATTTCGACTTTTTTCAAGACATTTGAAATTTTTAGAATTTCAATCTAGTTCGGTCCACAGTAGATTCATTCGGTGACAAACTAGATGTGATCATACGAGCACTAATACACTAGATCAGATCTCATCATCAACAAGTACTACTTTAATCTCAATTTCATAAAAATAACAATTAACAGTTCTGATTGGTCAAAATTTATCGATGTACATTCAATAAAAAAAACAACTGGAGTATACTGTACTACAAAATTACCTAAAAGAAAACTATTTATGCCTGCCCCAAAAATAGCAAGTGTTTCTGTCAATTATCCTTTAATTCTATTCGAAGAGCGAACTCAATCTTTACCTAACACGAGAATTAAAAACAAGAGTTTTGTATCCCAAAACAAAAACTGAAATAAGCTTCGTAATTACAAAAAACCATAATATTTCCCCCCGATCTCAACCCTAACAAATGAAGGGGGAAGAAATTGAGTTTTGCTCCTTGACCAACAATTTCTTCCCGTCCCATCATTTCTTCACCCATCGGTTAAACTACCTGAAGCATCAAACATGGTGCCAGAAGTCACCTGGAAAAATGAAACGGTTTGCTACAACTTCCCGCCGCTAATCAGCGTAGAGAGTTTTGGAGATGGATTCACCCTCATGGAAGATGTATTCTCAGCTTCATTGCCGCTCCTCAACCTCCAAATCCTCCTCATCTACGTTATCAGCAACTCCCTGAATTACATTCTCAAGCGCTTCAGCATCCCCTCCTTCGTGTCTCAAAGCCTGGTAAAAAAAGAAAATCATCATGGGTAATAGTGTGCGAAAATCACATAAATATGATTGTTTGAAAATTAAATTCGAGCATAAGAGGTTACATTCCCATAAATATCGATTTACTTGCCATGAACGAGTATTCTATAATATTTCAATTTGTTTCCAGAACTTCGTTTCTTCGTGTACTTTGATTTATTTGATATCATTACGCGATCTCTTCATTTTCTCCCATAACCGTCCTATATTTCAGACGAATTTCAACCTCGAAACAATATGGAACGCGCGATATCGATGTCATCATCGAAATTTCATTAACCAAAACTCAGTTTCCTATTCTCTTTTGTTGTTTTTGCATGCGAGAAACAGACTGGTGTCATCCTGGGGCCAACCTTCCTCGCGAGGACCGATTTCGTGCGAAACACGCTATTCCCCGAGGCCTCCCACGAAACCCTGGACGTGGTAGGGATCTGGGGATACTGCACCTTCACGTTCCTCGCCGCCGTGAAAATGGACGTGGCCATGGTGATCCGGTCGGGGAAAAAAGTCATGACCATGGGCGTAGCCTCCATGGTCATCCCACTCGCCGTCGGCCTCCTCTTCCAACGGCAGCAAATCGCTCGGGCGGACAGCAAGCTGACGGTGAGCAGCATCGTCGGCATCACAGGCATCCAATCCCTCACCACGTTCCCCGTCGTCGCGCAGCTCGTCCACGAGCTCAAGCTGACCAACTCCGAGATCGGCAGGCTGGCTCTATCCTCGTCCCTCGTCTCGGGACTATTCGGCGCCGTTTTCAACCTCGTGGGGATGACGTTGACCATGCATCTCGACGCGCCGGGACGCTTGCGCAACATATTCGTGGCGTTGTTCTCCATGGCCGTCGCGGTGTTGGTGTTCCGCCCGGCGATGGTTCGGGTCGTGAAGCGTACGCCGCAAGGCAGCCGGGTGAAGGCGGCCTACGTGTCGCTAACCCTAGCGGTGGCGGTGGGCTACGTGGTGCTTTTTGATGGGCTGATGCTGGCTTTCAGCCTTGGCGCGTTTGTGTTTGGGCTGGCGATTCCTGCTGGGCCGCCGTTTGGGTCGTCGCTGGTGGAAACCCTAGAGACGATACCGCAGGCGATTTTCTTCCCCGTGTTTGTGGCGACGTTGGCGATGAAGGCGGATCTGACGACGGTGTTTGGGGCGTTTGAGAATCGAGGGTTCTTCACGGCGTTGATATACTGGAGTGCCATCGAGAAGTTTGTGGTTTGCTTGTTGCTTGCGCTGCCGTGGATGCCGCTGGTGGATTCGATCGTGCTTTCGCTCATTTTGGGATCCAAGGGTGTTGTGGATGCCTCCATTCATGCTTATCAAATGGACAATCAGGTGAGTTATTTTTCACCTTAATTGCATGCATGCATGCATGCATTTTAGAGATTCGTTCAGCTAATCATCCGTTTAGTATAGTTTTGTTGCTGTTGTGGTTGCAATAGAGTTGTAACCAACAAATGTACAACGTAATCCTAATGACATGAAAAATATAAAACGAAAACGCGTTTAGTTAGCGATTCTAAAGAATTGCGGAAGTTGATAACCAGAAAGGGAAACACGTCTAAACTTACTTCTTTAGGCCTTATTTAGGATCAATTTTGAGACTAAGACAAAAGTTTGAAAACAATGAAAGGAAACTATATGGAAACAGTATTGGCAATAAGATAAAAACATAGATGGAAACAATAGTTGCAATAAGGTTTCAAAGAAGAGTTTTGTGAAAACAAAGAGAAAATATAATGAAAGTGGGTCAAGCGAGATTTGGTCACTCTTTTGAATAACATGATTCCAACAACTAAGAAGTTTTCACAAGAAAACAAATATTAGAAATAACTCGAAAACTACTTAAAATGATTTTAGGGTTAATATTTTCGTATGGCTTGAACTTTGATCAAAATAAACATCCTGACCAATCTTTTTGATCTATAACATCCTGACCCGAACTATACACCAAAATAAACAATTTGCCCAAATTCGACTTTTGACTGTTAACTTGGACGGTCAAATGCGTTGATCGTTAGTCAACGCGCCATGTCAATGCCAAGTCAGCATAAAATATTTAAAATAATTCATAATTTCCACACATTTCCTAATTTTAAATTATTATAAATTAAAAAAATCATCTAATACCTTAGTTAAACCAAAAATAAAAAAAAATGAAAAAAATAAATATTTATCAGATCTTCTGGCTTGGCAGTGACGTGGCGCGTTGACCGTTAGTCAACGCGTTTGACCGTCCAAGTTAACGGTCAAACATCGGGTTTGGCCAAATTATTTATTTTGGTGTATAATTCAGACCAGGATGTTATAGATCGAAAAGATTGGTCAGAATGTTTATTTTGGTCAAAGTTCAGGCCATACCACTATTGATTTTAGCTAATTTTTATTGTGTGGTAACTATTGTTGCCACAATAACGACGGATGAAACAGAACAAAGTGGAAGGATCACGTTTGACACATCAATATGCGAAAACATAGGTGGTATTTGTGGTGAGTTTATGTACATCACTAACCAAAAACCATCAACCGTCGGATTTTTAGATCGGACGGTTGAGCAAGACACAAGCATGAATATTGCATATGCTACTTGAAAATTCTTACTAACCTACGTACCTTCTATAACTAAATTCATTCCATGCATGCATGCAGCTGATGGGCGTGCAACTCTACTCCTTGTTCATGCTCTCCATCCTAGTCAACGCAACGGTCATCCCCGTCCTAGTCAGCATCCTCTACGAACCTTCGAGAAGATACGCGGGCTACCACTCGAGGAACATCTTCGCCTTGAGGCCCGTGAGCGAGCTTCGAATCCTGGCGTGCATTCACAAGCCGCACCACGTCGCCTCGGCGATGAAGCTGCTCGACACGCTCTGCCGGGCGGAAGAGAGCGCCGTCGCCCTCTACGTCATCCACCTCCTCGAGCAAGTCGGCCATGCGACGCCGATCTTCATATCACACCAGAAGCAGAGGCAGTCGGACGGCTCGGAACCTTCCTACTCCGACGACGTCGTCTTCGCCTTCGAGCAGTACGAGTGGAACAACATGGGATGTACGTCGGCACAAATCTTCACGTCGATTTCCCATGCAAAGTTCATGCAGGAGGATGTTTTCACGCTAGCACTCGACAAGCTTACTTCTATGATACTGGTCCCGTTCCATCGGAAGTGGGGGATCGACGGGAGGATCGAATCCGAAGACAACGTCCTCAGGGCACTAAATTACAGGTAAAGACAGAGATACGTTTCAATTAGCATGTGGTATAATATCTCTCAACAACTCGAATTATTAGGACATGTCACAAACTGGTCACAATAACTCGAGTTATTAGCTAGACGAGGTCCATGTATGCACTACAAAATAAATCCCTTATAGCAGGGGTTTTTTGGGCTTTTAGCAAGGGGAAAATCCGTCGCAAACGACCCCGTCAGCGGTTGCAATAACTGCTGTAAAACCGCCGCTACACCGACCGCCGCTGATTTTTCCCAGCGGTCAGTGCAACCCCTGGTGGAAGTCTTTGCGTCGGTTCCTGCAGGGGCCACAACTGCTGCAATTTTTCCTGACCACCATCGATCCCTGCAAGGGTTTGTGACGGTGTCAAACCCATGGTATTTTTAGCAGCAGTTGAAATAACGTCCTAAGACATTCACAAGCAGCCTTTTAGAATTTTGCAGAAATACCTGCTGTCCAACTTCAATTATAACTTTTAAAAGTGACATTAACTATTATCCATACCACATAACTGCACCAGTTAATTACATTTAACATTATACATGATTGTACATGTTTGAAACTCAACAACCAAAAATTTGCAAAAAAATTCAAAATGTGAAAGATAAAGATCTAGCAGGATCAACCCTCGCTTTCTTCTGAATCACCCAAATCATGCACTGGATGTTAACCTGTTACAAAACCAATCAAAATAAATTAAACTATGGTAACGGCAACTAGTCGAAGAAACAATCATGACAAAACAAAGTCTTGATCTCAAATTCTGGATTTCAATTATATTGTACAAACAAATACCTTAATCTTAAGCAGAAAACAGAACCCATAACCAAAAACTGAATAGGAAAGCTTGATTGGCTGAATTGAAGAGTTAGAGTGAACTAAATATAGACACTGAAGCTAGTTTGGCTGATAGTGCATTGAAAGACAAAAAAAAGGAAAATTAAACTAAAGCTTGTTAAATGTTCCCATTGCTCCATGCATCATAAGTACAAGATGAACAACACAGTTAAACTAAAGTCTCTTAAATGTTCCCACTGCTACTAGCCGACCATTTTGTTTTTCAACCAAATATCAACCTTCTTGTGAAACTAACCAGAGTGCTAACTAGTAAGTAGTAACAAGTTAATGGTTCGGATCATGACCAAGGTGAGATAAATCATTTAAAATCAAATTACCCTAGGATGCATGTGCTAACAGAGTAGGATGCATGTACTCTTATAACATTAGTAAGACCACAAAGAGGAGACTAAACATACCATCCACTGCTGCTGGTGAAGTGAACTCTTTATTTCAATGTAGCAGGACCTAAAAAAATGACGAGTTCGAAAGAATAGTGAGGAATCAGAAGAAGTTCCAGCAGACTACATACTCATTTAACATGAGTAAGAAGTTCTAATGCACCTAAAGCTTCCCTAATAGTCGGTGGTATTCACATCCAGTAAATGGTATAGATGGAATTGTAGCAAACCTTCACCAGGCTTCGCAACATCAATAAGTTCACTAGCGGCTATATCAATGCTTTTGCTGAAAAATTCGAAGTCTGCATTTAGATACACATTCTTTCAGAGTGGAAAAGGAACAAAGTAGAAGCAGAGGAGGCTGACAGACATATAATATGTGTGAATCTCAGTTCCAATATTACCTAATTAAGATTCATAATTCACTAATGCAACATTACTGTAACCAGAGTATAATAACAACATTTAAGGTTTAGTCACCTGGACACATCCATGGCTTTATCAAAATGCGAAGGAAGTATAGGAATCAATCAATCGTCAGTCGTCACACAACCTGGACCACAAATTACCAGCCACGAAAGATTGCCCTCATCATCTGCATGCAAAGGAGTTAGGTAATCTCCAAAGCAAAATAAAGTTACAGAATCATTAAGCATGCTTACACATTTATTTATGACTTTAAAACCCCTTAAACTAGTCTAATTTGAGTTTAAAGGATACCACCTGTATCCTCTCTCCTCCAAAACCTGTACCAAACAAAATCATATGTAAATTAAAAGTATATCATAAATAAAAAGAATGACAAAGTCAAAACCAAATCCAACGAGTAAAAAATAAGGCTAAAATTGAATAGAAAGATCTATCTATACCTGGTAGCTAGATCTTCTCGCTTTCAGTATCCCATGGTCGATTTTCTTTCATTGTTGTTGTATCCCAAAGATCGGTAGCCCCATTCTTCCTCTCCCCTCGACTAGAATCAAAACCTAGAAAATAAGACAGAAGGGAAGTAAGAAATTTAAGCTAAAACAAAAATAAAACATGCAAACAATTGATTAAGTGTGATGCTTATCACAGTTAGATTGAACAAGGCCATTTTGGGCATTTGTTCTGTAGCTGATTCCTTTCATACTTAAATCAAAAGCAAGGCTGCCACTTAAGAACTTAAGTAGTTCAACCAGTAACTTCAGCTGCTCTTCTTCCCCACCTGCCAACCAAACCAACCCGAAACATCATCATCATTATCATCAATTGTGTTATCGTTTTACCAATCTTTCACCCATATTCCCCCAAAACACAACCTATATTACCTTTGTTAACAGCGTCTACTGTTGTGCAATGAGTTGGAGGCAAGCAGCAAGACTTGGAGTGCTACTAAGGCACACCAGAATCCCACTCAACAGAAGAGACTACAGCAACACAGAACTATCAGTTTCCATGCTGCTTATTGGCTTGAGAAAGCTGTCATTCCATGGCTTCTAGCTTCGGCTTACACAGCTCTTCTGGATAAGCACTGATGGAAATCCGGAGGAAAATGAGATGCGGTCACCACTAGTTTCAATTCATCATCTGGAACAGCAGAACCATCTACCAATGGCTCAGCAGCTGTCTCCATAATTATCTCATCAACTTGCTTCAACTGATTGAATGGTATGTGGCAGCATTGCATCAGGAACTTCAACATCCTGAATTCGAACAAAAAGCAATCATATTTAGAAAGTCTTGAAACCATACACCAGATAATTTGAATAAACTACACCACCATAACAGATTTATCTCAGGGTGATCTCCGCCGAAATCTGCAAATCGATTTCGAAAGACTTCTCTTCATGCCATGTAAGGGATGCTTTCCTACTATATGAACTCCGACACAATATAATCAACATTCAGAGAGACACGGAGCTCAAGGATTGTAGAGCCGATTCTTTCATTGAACTTGAGAGATTTAGTTAACTCAATGGTTTCAGGGAAAATTTACCTCAACTGTGCCAAATGTCTGTAAGAGAACTCTTTCTTCTTCAAGCATTCAACATTGGGGCCGAAGTAGATCAAAAGAAAGAAGAGGCTCAAGCTTTTCCAGGAATCAATCCTTTCAAAGACAGGAACCAACCACTTAACTTCACCCTACCTGCTACCGGATAAAGCTTATACCAACAAATCAGTAACACTATCCAACTAAATCTAGAACCATAAGCATGCTATATGCTGGTAAAATAAATCCAAAAGATCAAGGGTAATGATTAACTGCCTGCTTTGGCTAGAGACCTACCTCAACAAAGTTTAAACGATGCAAGAAGCCACCAATCTACAGCAATAGTGTTTGGCATCACAACTCCATCGGCATGCATAATGCCGGTGAACTTAGGGTTAGCAGCAGAACCAATTGAAAGAACAAATTTGCAATTAAGAGCAAAGAAGAACAATGGATCTGTAATCGGACCCAAGGGAGAGGTCTCATTCACCTCAAAGATCTGAATCCACCCAAGTCGGCGAGGGACGGAGCCATGATAGCCGCAAGCAGCGATGACGTATTGCAGCGATTCAACGAATAGGTTTTGTTTTCTTCGAAGAAGTAGAAGGATTTGTTGTTAATGGAGGATTTTGATGGTGGTCGAGAATTTAATCGTAGCAGGGCAGGCGAACTAGGCTTCGATGGCGATAAGGAATCGAATTTGTGGGTTAGGGATTTATTTTCGGGGAGAGCAGAGCAGAGGAGGTTTAGTTCCAAAAATACATTTGCTTTGATCCAAAAATTTCAACGATTTGGATTATAAAAAGATGAGAAAATATGCAGCGAATTCCAACACCGCTGCAGAAGTCGCTGCCCGAAATAAAATTTTGAAAGTCCAGCAGCGGTTAATATATTCGCTGAAAGAAAACCCCTGGGCTAGGCCCATTTCCTTGTAGTGATGGTAACTCAACCACTTTCTCGCACACCTCTTCGAACGAAAACCAACTCATGGACTTGAAGTTTGCACAGGTTCACCATCTCAGGCCTCTAAAGACACCGGTTAATATTGCGGGTCATAAGAACTTGAACGCGTGACCTCAACAATCAACTAGACTTTGATACCATGTCATAGACCAACTTATCTCAATAGCTCGAGTTATCGAGAGAGGTTCATGTATGATATTTAACTACTTCCTTATAGAACCAAATGGTTTATAACATATTATCAAAGTCTTCTATAACCAATAGGTTTTATGTTCGAGTTCTGGTGACTCTCATTGGTAATTAATTACACGTGATATGTGTGCAAACATCAAGTTCAAGTGAGTGACTTTGTTTGAGGAGCGTAGTAGTATGTGATACAAAATCAGTTATTAAACACCTTCCAATCACTGGTTATCAACTGGTTTATGACACGTAAATTCTTTTTCAACAACTCGTGGTGAACCAACTGATGATTTTATGACATGTGAATCCTGACTTTTGTCGTGGTTGATTATTACAGGATTCTGGAAACAGCACCATGCTCGGTCGGGATACTCTACGACCGCGGCGGCGGAGGCGGCTGCGGCTTCGAAGTCGTGTCACTCGACAACGACAACGACGCGACGGCCTCCGAACCGGCGCCGTCTCGCTCGATATGCATGATCTACCTCGGCGGCCGCGACGACCGAGAGGCCATAAGCCTGGCCAAGCGCATGGCGAACGACCCTTCCGTCCACCTCACCATACTGCGCCTGGTCAGCGACGAAGTGGCCGGCAGCGAGACGGTGCTCGACGACGTCGTATTGAACGGCGTGCTGCGAGAGATGACCCACTTCCTGAACGTGCAGTGCTTGGAGAGGGTGGTGAGGGACGGGACCGAGACGGCGAGCCTGATCTCCTCCGTCGCCGACCAGTACGACGTGTTCGTCGTCGGGAGGAGGTGGCACGTGGAGGTGGCGTCGCCGCAGACGGCGGGGCTGTCGGACTGGAGCGAGTTTCCGGAGCTGGGAGTGATTGGGGATCTGCTGGCGTCGAAGGATGTGAGGACTAGGGGTTCTGTGTTGGTGGTGCAACAACAGAAGCAGCATAAGAAGAAGATATGAATTAGGTGTGTTAGTAGTAGATAAACGTACGTTGTAGAAAGATTAGCATGCACCAATCGTCATGAACTAGTAGTTGAATGATCTGTTAGCAATGGTATTAGAGTTTATTATAGTTGAGAGGTATTGCATTCGAATCCTAACTATCTCAATATTAAGTATATGATATTCAGATATATAAAAATTACAATCGATGGATTGGTCTTCGTTTTGGAACGTCTGTAAGATAGATTAGGTGAGTGTACGAATATTAAAAACAGACATAATATTGGGATATTGTCTGGACTTATATGGGTCAAATCAGGTTAATTTGAATTTTCCTTGAGCTGGTGCAATACATTCTTCTCAATTTCTACCACTAGCTTCAAACACCCTAATCCCCCAGTGAGACGAGTAACAACCCTATGAATTTCCTCGGCTAGCAAGCATATATACTTATCTCCTAAAAAAATCATAGTGCAAGACACCAAGAGAATAATAAGGACATTTACAAAACAAGTGTGGACTCTTTGTTTCTGTCTCCTTGTTGCAAAGAACACAAGCATCTGATTTAGCCACATAATTTTAGCTTGTCTCTGACAATTTAGTACGATTTAAAATCACCAACCAAACTAGAAAACTATGCTTTGGAATTGTAAACTTTTCCCACAACACCTTAAACGGGTTAATTGCATGGTTGATCACTGGAATTACAAAAAATGTTCATGTTTGGTCACTAAAAATATTTGATTCCTTCCGTGGTCATTAACTTTACATTTTCATTTCATCATTGGTCACTCTCCGTCCAACTCCGTTAAGTTTGTCCTGCGTGGCAGACTGGCAGTCAACTCTATTAGTTGACTGTTAAATGAGTGATGTGGTAAATAAAAAATAAATTTTTAATAATTTCCACCTGCGCCAACGTTAGCCACCTCCCCTAAAAACACCACCATATCCTCTGCTTTCATGTGAATTTAGGTTAAACAATGTAGCAATTAGGCCCGAGCTTGACAAAATCACCAATTGCACTGCATCAACTTCATGTACCCAGAAGCAAAGCATACTTGCATTAATAGTGCCCCTACAGCAGCATAGGAAGCAGCAGCATCTACGACACGAATCCAAGATCGCGGAGCAGTACGACACCCGAGTCGCCGTCCAAACCACCTTCCTCGATCTCCACCTGGTGGTGCACTTCCCTCCACTTCCAACCCTTCCGGCCGACGCCAACCGCTTCCGCCTCTTCGTCAAAAAGATCCTCATCCTCCGCGACCCCAATTCCGCCGACCTCTTCACCCTCTCACTCGCCGCCCACCGACCCTGAATTAACTGATCTCTTCGACCGGATCTACTCCTACAGCTCAACCCACCGCGCCCGAACATTCCGCTTCACCGACCTAACCCTAACCACCGCAATTAATCAATTCCCCCCCAAAAATTCACCTCCCTCTGTGCAACCGTCAAACACCTCAAAATCTCTGCCAAATTTGACCTCCACAAACTGATCGTTGAGTACTCGAATCTCCCAACCTGACCTCCCTCCACCTTCGCCGCTGCGTGATCCCCACCTCGACCCGAACTGTGGCGGTGTATTCCTACCCAGAGCGCTGGTCGATGCCGAATGTGGAGAAGCTGGAGCTGGTCCACTGCGATCGTGATCGTAGGCGACGACGGTGAGAATAGTAAGAACTACTACGGTCATAACATGTACCTGTGTGCACCGAGGTGGAAATTATTATATTTTTTTATTTGCCACATCATTCATTTAACAGTCAACTAATAGAGTTGACTGCCTCGTAGGATAAACTTAACGGAGTTGGACGAAGACTGACCAATGATGAAAAGAAAATGTAAAGTTAATGACCAAGAAAGGAATTAAATATTTCTAGTGACCAAACAAGAACGTTTTTTATAATTTCAATGACCAATCATGCAATTAACCCCTAAAAGGAACTACCTTCTTTGCCTTTGATAAACTGTTTATAATGCTAAGATCAAAACGTTGTGGGATTTTTCTTCTCGTTTATGTTTGTGATAGCTATAAGTCTATAACTTGCTTTTAAAGAGACCACTTTTCTATGTGGGAGTGGGAGTGGGTATGGTCTGGTTCGGCCTAGAATAAGATTGAATCGCTCAAGTACTGAATCAACAAATAAAGAAAACTTAACGTAGCTAGCCAGTAAATTCTAGGCCGGAGAATTTGGAAGAATTCCTAAAATCAACGTTTTTGTGTATGGATCCAGTGGCCAACCATGGATCAATCAAGGAAATGAAACATTAACGTAGCTAGCCAGTAAGCAAGTACTAATACAAGGCCCGGCTTGTTGGCCGGAGAATTGGATGGTTATATAATTTTTTTCGTCATTCACACGGATGATAATGTGTGTTTTGTTTGTCAATGATACACTCACCACAAAAGTAAATTAACTCAAATATCACCTAATACGTCCACTAAATTCATTTCTAGCTCCCCACTTATATTTATACGTAGTACTCTATCTCATTTAACCATTTAATTGACAAGTATATCGGATTTATCATTTAAGTTAATTTTTATGAACTCTTGAGAGAGCCAATTAGGCTGGTATTGTCCTCGGGAAACTTAAGTATCCTTCATCTTATCGCACTTTGGGGAACATAATGCTATCCGGATATATTTACTACACTGCTCAGTATCACATTGGATTGAGTTGTTTAAATAGAACTTTTGAAGTGCAGAGTTTGAGAGATTTTATAACTGCATATTATAAAGACCTTTACTAGTCACAGCTTATCTGCCTGAGTAACTTTTGTACTTGATTCCATCGGTTAGGATGTATCATGTGTACTTGGTATCACAACTAACTAAATGTATACACCAAATTCTATGTTTCAAAGTAGCAAGCACTCTAACCAATCTAGCTATACCAAGTTTTGATGGAAAGTTTATTATTAGTCACTCACAAACAACAATAATGTAACTTTTGATAAATATATAAGTTCACAAAGAAACATCTAAGCAATCACCATAGACAGATTCATCAAATCTAGCATCAAATTAAGATCAAACGTGTAAGGAATTAAACACCAGATATGGTACTGACTCGGTCAAAACTAAACCACAATAAAATCCCAACTAGAGCCAAGTTTTTAAACTCTAGTCGGGTGCAGTATAGGACAAGTATTTAGATATCAACCCGGGTCGATCCGCCTACCCCTACTTCGGTTGTTGAAATCATTATCTAGCAACAAAGTTTTGGTTTAAAGGTTTGCTAATTGAAATAAAAGAAAGCAAAGGTAATTGGTTTTGAAAACTCTTTTGTGGAAGGATCACTAGGGTGCCGCTTCCCCCTAACTGCTTCCATGATATGTTCATTGGAACAATTGCTTTGGGCACGGTAATTGTGAACCGCTGAGGGATGCATATATGGTCGGAGACCACAATCTCAATTGCTAAACTAAGGTAAGCATGAGAGGTCGTGTCACTCGACCCTCTCGGTTTAGACAATCGGTAGTTGACTTACTCCCTCATTCAACTCTAAGGTTGGATGGCTTTATCGCAATTAACCGATTTGCTTAACTCAATATTGAGGGTTGCCCTAACTTAACCTAGATTAGGTGGCTAATTAGATTGCTAGCACCAACATGCACGAACCTAGGGGTGCTAAGCAGAATTATGCACAATCCTTAGGTTGCTAAGAACCTAAATGCACAAACCTAAGGATGTTAAGCAATCTAATTTACTAATTATGCACAATCCTTTTCCCCCAACTTTCGACTCCGAGGCTGGTTTCACCTGTTGAATCCTGAAACGCACTAAAACACGAGGAACCTAACGTAAAACCAACCTTTTAGGAGTGAAATTGGCACAAACACCTTAGTAAAACACGGACAAAACATGTACAATTAGGCCCGAATCAGGTACTTGAAATAAAATAACTACTTACACTAGTAATAGTTAATATACTTATCTTACTGGTAATTAATTTAAAAGATAAATTATTCTCATATGGTTCAGTACTAGGAAAACTACCAATTTAATGGCTCCTCCAAGCGATGAATTTATTCATTTGTAGAGTCTTATTGCATTTCTTGCTATGGAAACATATTCTTTTTTTTTTTGGTAAAATATGGAAACATATTCTTGGGACATAATTCAAATATTACCATTCCATTATGGGGAGGAGAATAAAATGATATTGATGTTAGACCTCTAAAAATACTTGTGAGATAACCTCTAGATTGGCCTACAACCACTACAAGTTTATTAACACATCAAAAGATGGTGAAATGAACAGTACAACAAATCCAATCTTGTCTCATGATTGTAGAGTACTATCATGCCAAATTAGCAAGAGATTTGACGTTAGCGATTAACCGGACAAAAATTTTAAGAGAACCTGGAAAAAGGACAATCCCGCAACACATGTAGGATCATCTCGGGTTGGTCAATGCAGCGGTTGCACTTAGGTGAAGTAGCTATGTGAAGTCACGCCCGCTCCTGGTTTGTGAGAAGACGCTCCCTAACCGCCATACATAGGAAGTGATTGACCGAGGCCGACCGTCGTCACCTCCAGATTTTGTGCCAGGTGAGACCACATTGCTCTCTGTCATCATGGGTAGCAATGGTATAGGCCGAGCTCACCCGAAACCTCCCATCCTTCTCGGGTCCCCACGTCGGGAGTTCTTCTCCTGTATCCTGCTTGGGTGGTTGAACAAGAATGGAGACTATTAGAATGGTGATATCTCTCGTTGCTCAAAATGGATGGAAAATACATCAGATGGATGTGAAGTCAGCTTTTCTAATGGATATCTCGAGGAAGATATCTATGTGGAACAACCTCTTGAATATGTCATTGAAGGCCAAGAAGATAAAGTGTTGAAACTGAAGAAGGCATTGTATGGTATGAAATAGACACAAAGAGCTTAGAATAGCAGGATTGACAAGTATTTTCAGCATAACGTGTTCAGTAAATGTCCACATATTCTACGCAGTTGGATATTTTCTACTAGTTAGTTTGTCAACTCATAAATTCACCCAATTGCATATAATCTAAACTCGGACACAATACATTAACAAACGGGCCTATAAGTAATAATATAAAACTCATCCATATAGGGATGGCAATGAGGCGGGTTTAGGGCGGATTTTCCTAAACCATCTTCATCCACATGCTTTCAAATATCCAAACCCATACCTGACTATGATCTCATGTCATGCTACTCAATAGGT